GGAACATGGAACAGTCTGTGAACTTGGAAAAGTATCGTGCTTCACACATAACACTTAAAACTGTATACTTCGCATTTTTTTTGTAACAAACTTACCCTTAGAACGTTTCGTCCATCCTCTTGTGATTAAAGGAATTGGTGACAAAGCTTTGAAAACAAACTATTCCTGACCCAAGAGAGATAAAAGGCTTTCTTAAGAGTTCCGTATAATATATAGCAGACGCAATTGATCAGCAAACAGAACCTCAGACATCCGTTACAGACAAAATGAATTGTGTGCACAATATATAGAGAATGCTCTCGTTCTGTTTGTGTGTTTTGCAGGGAACATTGCCCACAAGAGGTTTGTTACTGTCAGCGTTCGCGTCATCTCACGTTTTGTGTTCTTTGATCCTTTCTCGAAATTCCAATTTACAGATATGTTTTATCGTCAAAGATATGATCAAGGCTTAAACTCTATTAGCGTTCACTTTTCTACACGATGTACATGTCCATTCATTTCGTTTTTAACAAAATCTCGTTACAAGTCGTTTCGCGAAGACATGAGAATCAGACAATACATGCCAGAGGATAGGCTTTCGTTCCTTTAAGCATATGCAGCGCGAGCGAAACATGTAAGATGTGATCGGCCAAATTGCATACATGCATTACTACCAGGGTTAATACTTCAGTTTTGACAAACCCGTTTCCCCATACAGCACGTTTCTTTATGTGTGGAAATGCTCCTCTTTTAATGTCTAAGCACCATTCCATACGCAGCTTGCCTACGTGTGTTAAAATGTTCTATATAATTGGGCGTGCCATCGCATATGAAAATGCTTAATATAGAGTGTGCCTATGTACATGGAAATGCTCAAAAAGAGCTCGCTCTACGAGGACATTAATTATGCATATGCAACGCCCTGTGTAGAATGTGCCCATGTATACACAAACGCTCTTCACAGAGTGTACCCACGTGTATTCAATACTTTGTTTAGAATGGGCCCATGTATATAAAACGACTCTTGACAGAGCTTGCTTATGTACATTAAAAATTTCAATTGTTCTGTATAGAATGTGTCCATATATACGGGGATGCGTAACATAGAATGTGAAAACGTATATGCATTGCTTTGTATGAAGTGTAGCTGATATGTCTAATAGTATAGTATGCAAATGCACGTGCAACATATCTATCCATAATCAATACTCCATATGTAACATGCCTGTGTATGCTCAATGTTCGGATCCAATTGTTTAACTTGAAATACGGGGCCTTTGATGAATGGCTCATCCACGTCTCCTAACAACAATAATGTGGTATATTTATGTGCAATGTATGTTTAAAGGAAACATTCGTCTTTCCCAAATATCGGTTAAAAGTATGAATTTAGATTGGGGTCATAATCCAGAATGAGACTACATAAGATGTCCTGTATTAAAGCGACACTTGTTGTTAGCTACTGGGTATGCAAGATACCAACCAGTGTTGTCCAGAGATCATCCTTGTGATGTTTGGTTTAATTTTAACTTACGATAGTAAGCGCTTATATTGATAATACACTCATGCTAAAGTATAAATCGTCATAGGTTCAACAGTTAATCACAAACTTTTTAAATAAAAATATGTATCGCTCACATTAATCGATTCTAACACATATGTTTCAATGATCTCAGTGCCATCAATGACCTCCTTGTATCGATATAGTAGGTTAAAGGCGGCTCCGGGTGGTAAATGCCTGAAAATATCTATCTTTTATTTTGCAAAAGCATTTGGCCAGTGCCCGTTCACTTGTGTATATATAAGAAACGATATTTTGTGACCTGGATTTTCTAACCAAATTCGAACATGATTTCGCTCTGAACATGAAACCAAAACATGTCGAGGAAGGATAAAATCATGTTCTGTTTACTGCAATATCCTTAAATATGGAACTGAAATACATATTAACAATAATACGAGTCAAACCAGGAGGGAAGATGGGTTTAATCCCCAATTATCAAGCCAAAGGGAAACATTGGGTCGTCATTTGTGTCTCAACTCCTAATGTGTAGTCGTATTCAGCTATCATCGCTAATGGTATAAAACAAATATGTCTGCTCTTAATTTGAATATTTACAGGCATCAGCTGAGAAAAGGAACAATTTATGCTCCCCTTTTTGCGAAGACAGGTATCGTAAATAAATGATGAGAACACATGTTTATTGTATTGTGGAAATTGTAACATACACTCTCTTTCGAAGGAACATTGTTTTAATGGATATGTAAAAGCTTTCGTCGCTTTTTATTCACTCACTACAGTGTTTCCAAGTTGGCAGAAACACATCCACCTACATGCGTCCTCACACCGCCTCAAGCTCCGTCGCAGACACACGAAACAGCGTATCAGTAACACCACTGTCTGTAACGCCATCAGTCATAGATGAAAGACAATGAGATTGCAGGAAACGGGACCACCAATGATAAACGACAGTCACGACTGTAGGCGGTTACAGCTAATAACTTACCGCGAGTGGGCGTGATCGACTAGAATGGAGACAGCTGCGTGGTCAGTGAGGATTCGGTTTCTTTCTCGACTAGCAAATAGATCACACATTTAACCGATAGGTACACATAACATAGAAGCGAAGTGGGTATCATCATATTTGTATGTTGCTCGAAATTATGACGGTGAGTCTCCTTGTCACGCCATGAAGTATTGTCGCCAATTTTCCTCATTCCGATTTCTATTTTAAAAGAAACGAGGAATGAATACAATTAGATAAATACATGGTCTCACAGGCCGCTTTGAAATATGGGATGTTTTCATACATCAAACTTTGAGATACATTACAGCGTATTTCTTTAATGTGCATGTATCATGTTTCATACATTTTCAGAGAAATGGCTAGATTACACGAAATAAACCTGTTTGTCTTGAACTTTTTCAAAATAATAATTATTTATCCAGTAGTTTCATAGCGAAAACAGTACAACAAGTTACTATTTCTTTTCGCATTATTTCGATTTATATTTTGTACCATGTTTTTCACCGACAGTTCTATTTCCTTAATTAGCGCACCACAGCTTACGTCAAATAGGAAGATGACATAACTATTGTCGATTAATAAACGAATGACGTCATGAGACGTTATTAGACCGATTTCACGCCGTGCAGGTACAGGCTTGTGGTTCTTTTGTCACGATACGTAGCCTTCTGTTTAGCCTGCCAGGCGGATGTGGGCGTGTTGCATGTATGTATGTATGTATGTATGTATGTATGTATGTATGTATGTATGTATGTATGTATGTATGTATGTATGTATGTATGTATGTATGTATGTATGTATGTATGTATGTATGTATGTATGTATGTATGTATGTATGTATGTATGTATGTATGTATGTATGTATGTATGTATGTATGTATGTATGTATGTATGTATGTATGTGTATATGTATGTATGTATGTATGTATGTATGTATGTATGTATGTATGTATGTATGTATGTATGTATGTATGTATGTATGTATGTATGTATGTATGTATGTATGTATGTCCGTGCGTGCATGCGTGTGTGTGCATGTATGCAGGTAGGTTTTGGTTATCACTCGAGACAGGTCATCCGGTATACGCGATGCTTGTAAGTTTACTCTCCAGATAATCGAGAGTTTGCTGGTTTTCACCACGACACAAAGCTCCACGGGGCATATGAGACACATATCTGGAGCCTCCACCTGTGTTATGTGATCAGTGCTTTAATTTGACCAAGTCAACAAAGTCTACCACGAACGTTCTTTTGAGGCAGCTGAATCGATAGATATGCATCAAATTTGAAGCCATATACTCATTTAGACACACTAAGCATGTTTACCTAAGGTCTGTGACAGCAGTTTAAATGCTTCCCAAAGTTGATGCAACAAGAATAAACAATGTCAGCTATGTTATTAGCACCAGGATTCGAACTCATACTCATCCCAAATGTAACTAAGTAGACCTGACATATAAGGTATTTAATCAAAATGTTCTAACCTATATTAAAAACATTGGCGACAAAATGTCCAGTTCAAATAAACATTGTTGCATCACAGCCATGTAAATTGCGAAGACGCTGTTTGCCTGGTACCAGGGTTTGCATTGCAGAGTTGCCGGCTTTAGTCGGGCAATGGTTCGCTTATCCCGAGTGTGAATCCAAGAATTCACCCCTTGTCTGTCTGAAGCACACAGATGTGCTTTGATTTAAGCAATAGTTTAAACGTCTTCGACCTTCGTCAATTTGAATTTTAGTCTCAAAATTAAGTCGGCATGCCGTATGATAAATGGAGTGGCCTTCAAGCGGGTTCACCAGGTCCACTTAGTCACTTTTCCTATCCATGGCGGAGGACACGGATAAACTTTATGTCAAAACATCATAATCCAGTGGCAAGCAATATTTACAACCTACAAAAAAGACGAATTAGAACCAACACTATTGCTCCCCTCGAGAGTGCAGTTGTTACAATTTGAGATTGACTTCAACACAAACAGATTATCGGAGCACTCTGGACTATAACACCAAAACTATCAAGTTAATACGCTACAAGACCAACTGAAATTCAAGGTGCCTGGCTTTTAAATGTATTAACAAGAAATACATTGATTACGTTATGGATACGATTCCATATTCCTAATCGATGCATGGAATGGTACGTTTTCAATCATGCACTTTAAACTATTGCTTTGACGGAACTGTTGAGCAAATAACTTTTTGCTTTCTTTCGGAATAATAAATCGTCCTGTGATATTATTTCAATTCCCACACATATCCCTGTAGTTTGTTTTGTGTTTGGTGTGAATAATTTATGTATTAATCATTTTTCTTTGGATATCGTAAATGTTCCCACATTCTACCATTAATTTCTATGAATCATGCAAAGGTAACGATCTGTTTGTAATGCATATGCAAAATCCTAGCCAGATTCCCATCTTTTGTTGCGGGCACTTCCTACAGGCTCACACAACTGGTCGATGTGTGTAATCGGAGGGGTGAGTTGGGAACAGCTGCTAGTCGCTCCAGTCGATAAACTACAAGGAAGTGTAGCAATGGTTTGAGTAGACTTCAGTTTGCCGACGCAAGGTTGTAGCAGCAACAGGCTAACTTTGATGTGCTTCTGAGTTCCTATGACTGATTACCCCCTGTTTTTGTGAGGTAAGAAATACTGCCATCTTTACAATCCACTTCAATAGTTAAAACATACCCATTTGATCTTTGTAGCGGGCTAACGTAAAGTTCAATCTTGATTTCAGATATATGATGGATTGAAATAGTACTATTGTTCAGTTCATATGGTGTTTAGGTATTTACTGATGAAATGATTTAGTAATATAAGTATTGTTATCAGGAAATAATTTTACTTGCTCGTTCTGTTTGTACGTGTAAGCAGACATCAGCAAAGGACATTTACACTCAAATATTATATCGTAATGGGTCCCTATGTAATGGTTCAGAACCGTATAAAATAACATTAAATGATATCATCACATAAATAAAATCCCACTTACATAAGGACCACTATGTCGGTATTACTTCCAGTTACAGAAAAATGCACATGCCTTGTGTCCCGGAAGGACAGAACTTGCTTACCGTTTCACGAAGATGGAATCACGACTGATTCTCAGTGATCCACTATATAGTGTTTTGCATTTTAAGCTGAACTGAATCAGTTTCGTTGGAAAATAGAGAGATCCTTATTCTCCGGCTTTTTATTAATATTTCTTTTCACAGCTAATACCAAGTTCATTATGAAAGTTTTAAATTGTATTGTCCAAATAGTGCTATTTGTTTTAACTTTCCACACTAGTTTTAGTTGTAATTGTGATATTCTAGTTATTTTACTGTCCTTCGTAGACAGGTTTTTATCATATACATATATTCCATTTCAATGTCAAATATGTTTTCGTCACGATATGGCTGAGATATTGCCGATGTGACGTTAAATATTAACTCACTCACTCACTCATTATGAAAGTTTTCATTTTACATGAAAACGACCCGACACTGTTGCTACAGATTTCTTGCACGTACCCGGAAATTAGTTGGCTTTATTCTCCTCAATACCTCTAACTATACCTGATATCGGGTAAATCAATAATTGTCAATTCACGGCTTTTGATAAATGAGTATGAAAACATGTCAACAGATAATCCATTATGTGTTTTCTGCATCAAGGAGCTATCACGGAAATGGGAAGCTGTAAACTATGGATTTAACATTTATTGTTTTTTTTGCTGACTTACACTGTGTGAACCATCATTTCTTGAAATGTCATATTAACCTTGTATCATTACGATTACGGTACCCGTGAAGGTCCTGGCTAGAATACTGATCTTCAGTAACCAATGCTTGTCGTAAGATCGCGTGGTCAGGCTCCCTGACTTGGTTGACATATGTCATCGGTTCCCAATTGCGTAGATCGATGATCATGCTGTTGATCACTGGATTGCCTGGTCCAGACTCGATTATTTACAGACCGCCGCCATATAGCTGGAATATTGCTGAGTGCGGCGTAAAACTAAACTCACTCAATCACTCGAACGTTGCAAACGTTTGCAACAGAATGATGAATTTCGCCTATCGGTATATTTCCAACATGTCTTTTATCGTTTAAGTTTTAATATATTAAACTATTTGCAACGTACAGTTCCTCGTCTGTGTCATCTCTGATGTCCATATGCTCTACGTCAAACTGTCATACTACATTAGAGAAGGTGGTCACTAAGCTGCACAGTTGATTAACTTGGTCTGAGGGAAACCTATTACCCGACATTGGGGCATTAGTGGGACATTTAATTGAACTGTCGACTTCGATAAAGCTCTGTAGTTACTTATGTATTTAGCTTGTCTTTCCCAGCAAGAAATTCCGTCTTTTGCAGTTATTTGGTGTCAAATCCAAGTTTGAGAATAAAAAGGACTAGTTATCAAAGCTGAAATACTGACTGAAACTTGACTTGTTGGTTAAAAATATGTTTGATGTAAATTGGTAGGAACACTTTTAATTCTGTGATTACTATTTTTGCATGCACAATCTGTTAAAATCTTATTTATGTTCCTCGCAACACATCCTCACAAAAATAAGTCTATTGGAACGTATTTGGAAGTTAAGCATTATATCAGATGCGTGACAGCTTCGGATTTTTCAAAGCCCTATTGTCAACTTATCAGTTGCTTGAGGACAACTGAAATTAGATAATTTTAGTTGACGGCAGCGTCATAAACACTTCAGTCACACACGCTGTGTTTAGGAGCTGACTTTCTTCAGAGTTAATTGAAACTTTCCTTGTCGTTCTTGTTTATGATCAAACGGTTGTAATCACCATCTGAAGGCTCATTTACATGTATGGAATCTGATCAATGCCCCGAGTAGTCAATTCCTTCCACATTTCTTTGTCCTTACTTGTTAATAGTAACCCGAAGCAATTGTAGTTTCTGCATTGATAATATTAAAATCCCCACTTGTGCACATCAAAAACACCGTCGTAAAAGTACCATGTATGAAATTGAAACAAATGTAAAGACTCGTTCGAGTTCAACTGCCTGCGTGCGTGTGTGTGTGTGCGTGCGTGTGCTAAACCGTAACATAGTGCTAGCCCACTGAGACATCATGTTCGTTTGTTGTTTAACGCCGCTCTTAGCAATATTCCAGCTTTATGACGGCTGTGTGTAAATAATCGAGACTGGACCAGACAATCCAGTGATCAACAGCATGATGATTCAATAATAAACTGGGATACGTTACCATGTGTCAACCAAATCAGACCCCCTGACCACCCGATTCCATCAGTCGCCTCTTAAGACGCCCATGAGATGCTGGAGGCCAATGCTAACGCGGATCGTCACATGTGAGACACAATGTAACTATGGTAGGCCACTCAGATACAGTATACTGTCCTGCATCAGGCCCGGCAACGGTAACAAAAACTAACATATTTTAACAACGTCTGGTAAGAGGAAGCCGGGAATCAAACTATCGACCTTCTACTCTCCGGGCAGACGCTCTTTCACTAATCTGAACCCACGGAAGTAGTCTTTTTATACTCTGTGTAACAGCAGTTGACAAAATACTCAAGGGACAAGATTGAGGGACCAGACGTATGATTTATTTGGACATGTCATTGATTAACACGTGAACTTGAAGTGACCATCTGTTCTCTGCTACGACACAAAACATATTCTCCCACATCCAAGTGCGTGAACCACCATGAGTCGATCTTTACTGTCACTCCTCAGTACGGCTAATCAATTCTCTCCTTTAACATACGATCTATAGATCTTGCATTTAGTATACAGCCTCAACTGGACAATCAAGACCCTTTTCGCTAAATTTATTGAGCTTTCTTCTGATATCGATTGTGGTCGTCCTTATGGACATCTTTATAATGGTGCTGAATTTGCCAAGGGAGTGTTGAAGACGCCCGAACCGTCGTTTCAATCCCTTATTATCTAGGCCTGAAGGCTGATTTACAGCATATGAGAACTAAAGGCTAGGTGGACTACATGTGTGACTGGTATTGATCGTCCAATCAAGTGATCAGTGATAAAGCAAATATTTACACCCCACTGGCTATATGTTGAAGAGTGGTCAGATTCAACGCGTTGCAGACACCAGGGGCCGTTTCAGGATGTACCTTCTGCTGAGATCACTGTTAGGATTGTGGTAAAATGGGACCACAAACGTAGCCAGTGTATACAAACCATCGACATTTATCCAGGAGAGCATGTGGCGGCAGATCATGTATTTGCTAAGTGACTTTTTTAACACAGAGGCATTTGCAATATGTGTGCATAGTTTGTCAGAGCAAATACAGTTAATATCTAATAACCAGACAATCCAGACCTATTTGCTTTTCCCGCATCAGAGGACATACTGTATGTTCGAAAGTTGAACTGTAATATTAATGCTCCGGAAACGTTAAATGGCTCACCTACAGTCAAATTTGAATTTTTTATGATTGACAGATTTCAAATCCTCAGAAGGTTCACTTATACCTAACATGTTTACGTGGAGTTTGTGAACAGATTCATTTGTATCGTTGACTGAGGGAGGGAGTTTAGTTTTACGCCACACTGAGCAATATTCAAGCTATATGGCAGTGGTCTGTAAATAATCGAGTCTGGACCAGACAATCCAGTGATCAACAGCATGTGACATGACATGTGTCAACCAAGTCAGCGAGCCTGACCACCCGATCCCGTTAGTCGCCTCTTACGACAAGCATAGTCGCCTTTTGTAGCAAGCATATCGTTGACTGAAGAGCATCATGACACTGTGGTTCTGTTCTCACCATATTCCTGACTAATGACCCTTTAGAAGTGTATAAACGTCAGAGACCACGAAGTTAGTTCCGTTTTGTATGAGGAGTAGGTTTCATTAACACCAAGACACTCAGACAGCGGCTGATTATGTCGCAGATGGTGAGAGCAGCCTCATGACTGATGAGCAAAATTTTACATTATTATCATGTGACAGTGGTTCCAAACTCTTCCAATAAGTATACACATCAGTGCCGCCCGTCTCACCTTAGTGGGAACATTGGGCAGGGTTCAGTATTCTTTACAGGAGCCATTTGACTGTTGGTTGATTGTTGAATCTTGATTGTTGGTTGATTGTTGAATCTAGCTGTTTACCAAGTATATATGCTTGTGTCCATCTTACATTCTACGGGCTTATACATTACAATGCATTTTCATGCTAGGGTTATCGGTGCCATGAACCAACCTGACCAGCTGGCTATCATAATCCGATAAATACTTTTCATGAGCTCCATACATCAGCTCCGTACACACGTTATGGCAAAACTGTTGCCTAAAGAAAGTTAAGATAAGGTTTCCCGATGTGGATGTTTCCGTAAATAATTATACACCAAATGATAAAAAGGGTCGTTTCACATTTGCATTTTGATTATTGCAAGAATGGCCCATTATAAAATATGACCAAAACATTATTATCTGGTTTGTTTCGGCAATGTGTCACGGCTGGCCTAAGTTATTGCAATACAATGTGTCACAACAGACCTAAGATACTGCAATACAATGTGTCACTACAGACCTAAGGTACTGCAATACAATGTGTCACGGCAGGCCTAAGGTACTACAATACAATGTGTCATGGCAGGCCTAAGGTACTACAATACAATGTGTCATGACAGGTC